AGAGAGAGACAGAGAGACAGAAAGTGAGAAATCACCCCCCAGGGGAGATGGTCACACCGCAGTCCCTTCTCCTCCGTTCTCCTCTCAGGATCTTGGGCACGCACACACACGCACCCGGCGTGAGTTTTAAGCCACTGGGTCCGGGACGCGAACTGCAGTTGACTACATGGGAGTCCAGCGACATAGCCATTACGCCTACTGCTGGTTCCCGGGAAATGGATTTTCAGCTTAGGAAACAGTAACGTTTTGGTTTAAAGGAATGAAAAAGGAAGGGAAAAGTAAAGGTCTTGGTCTTGGGACTTGTAGAGGCCCTGTCTCTGGCTCAGGGTACCATTGGGTTTAGTCTTTTAGGTCGTCGGGAAAGTTGTGATTCTTTTTTTATGTTTTCTGTGCAAAAATGCTCATGACTTACTTTGTTGCATTTTCTTTCTTTTTTCTTTTCTTTTCTTTTTTTTTTAGTTTATTTATTTCCTCCTTGAGTGGCACAGAGAGACAAAACAGAACTCCCCACGGAGTCCTGATACCACGATTCACCTCCAGCGTCAGCCAGCCCCAAATCATGGATGCACATGTGTGTAGCATGTTCGGGGGTCCCTAGACATGAACACAGAACCTGCCCCATATGGACCAGCCATGTGGGACCGTTGCATGACAGCTGTGCCTCTGGCCCCGTGTTTTTCTTCTTTAAATGACCAAAAATGGTTTCAGTTTGGGGCCAGTCAAGTAGGCATGGTGGCTAAGGCACGGGGTCCTACATGGCCGAATGTTTGGTTCAAATCCTGGACCTGGTTGCTTGAAAAGCACTCCAGTGCCTGTGCATTGTGCATCCCCGAAAATTTAAGAGGGGTCTGGAGGAGAAGGGATTGTGGTGTGGCCATCTGCCCTCGAGGGCGATTTCTGACTTTTCCCCTCTCGGTCTCTCTCTGGCAAGCGTGTGCATTCTTTTTCTTTTCTTTTCTTTTCTTTTTTGGAGAGGTTTTTGCTATAGGGCGCGTGTGCTCGCCAGAAAGAGAGAGAGACAGAAAGCGGGAAATCACCCCCCGGGGGGTGGCCATGCCACAACCCCTTCTCCTCCGTTCTCCTCTCGGGATCTTGGGCATGCACTCACACGAACCCGGCGTAAGTTTAAGCCACTGGGTCTGGGACTCGAACCACCATCTACTACATGGGAGTCCAGTGACATAGCCATTACACTAACTGCTGGTTCCGAGAACTGTGTTCTTTACGTGGTGGAGTGTGTTTCATGCTACCATAGGCCTTAGAAGCAGCTTACCCTGCTGTGCCCACCTTCCTCTGTGTGGCACTCAGTCCACCTGCTTGGAGAGGCAACAGGTGCTGGGGTGCCACGTGACCCGCAGTGACTGTCACAGGACTGCCGGAGTCACTCTGAGTTGGGCCACTCTTGCGTTTTTAGTGTGGGAAATGTGTGCTGGGCAGTTGCACCGTGTGCAACAAATGCTGTACATTGCAGCTTGCTCTGGTGCCGGCGGCTCAGGGGTCCTGTTTTTCTGCTCACTTTGACAGGCAGGCTCGTGGCGTCATCCCACATCCTGTGTTCTTGCAGCGTGCATTTCTGATGTCACACATGCATGGGGAAAGCGGGTGGAGGGGACGTCAGCCCAGTGCCGTCGGGACTCTGGTGTTTTCTAATAGGATATTAACAGAAGCGGAATAGGTCCATTCCGTTTTAATTTCATTTTGTAGCTTATTTATTTCATCAGAGAGAGAACGGGATGGGCACCCCCAATGGGGCCTTCGTGCCTGATCCACCCCCACTGTCAGCCAGCCGGGACCGTGGGCACGTGTCCGCACACTGTACTCAGGGAGGTCAAAGACAGAAACCCCGTGGGTCCGGTCGTGTTACCATGCGGTGCCATCACCTGGCTGTATTTTATTTATTTATTTTTTTAATTTGCCAGAGGGGTTGTGCACTCACCAGAGAGAGGTCCCCCCCTCCCCCAATGGAGCATGGTCACGCCATAATCCCTTCTCCCGTGGGCACGTGTCCGCACACTGTACTCAGGGAGGTCAAAGACAGAAACCCCGTGGGTCCGGTCGTGTTACCATGCGGTGCCATCACCTGGCTGTATTTTATTTATTTATTTTTTTAATTTGCCAGAGGGGTTGTGCACTCACCAGAGAGAGGTCCCCCCCTCCCCCAGTGGAGCATGGTCACGCCATAATCCCTTCTCTGTTTTCTCCCTTCTGGATTTTGGGCATGCACATGGAGTGATTTTCCAGCCCCTGGGGCCCAGATTTGAACTATGAGGTCAGCCAAGGAGGATCTGATTTCCTTAACCACCAGGCAGTGGGGCCAGCTGTTGTATTTTCTTTTTTTTATTATTTTTATTTTTATTTTTTTATATGATCAGTTATTTAATTAGGTTCTTGGCAAAAAAAATCTAGAACACCAATCTGTGAGGATAAACTCCATTTGTAAGGGCAAACACGGATTGCAGGTAGCCTTAGAGCTGAGGAACAGCTTTGATTTTTGGCAGAATTTGCGAATCTACAGCTTTCTGGTCAATCTTGCACTGCTCTGAAATCTCGTATTTCTCCTTCTCTGTGTCGAAGATCTCACCTTCCTGGTGTCTGGGCTTCCCCAGTTTGTTTTTCTTGAAGTAAGCATCGGTAAGGTGCTTTGGGATTTTTACTTTGCTAATATCAATTTTCGTGGAGGTGGCAATGACAAATTTCTGGTGTGTTCTACGCAGTGGAACTCGATTGAGAACCAGCGCTCCAGTAACAAGTAGCAAGCTACTGCTCAGCTGCTTGAGGAAAACCACTCTCTTGCCTCTGTGGCATCCAGTGAGGATGATCATAATGGTCCCAGGAGTGATGCTGGCTTGCAGCTCTCTCACATGCTGACTGAAGGGTTTTTTGCCGTGGCTCAACAGCTTTTGAGGCACATCTTCAGTAGGATAATACCTAGGCATTTTGCACAGTTTAACCACCCGGGTACCCCCATTCTTGTCTCCACCAACCGGTTTTGTGACAGTCGCAAGAACCTTCTCCTTCTTTTTCTTTTCGATCCTGGATTTAGTGGCCGAGTATTTCCTCTTATACATGGCCTTCCTGGAATACGTGGCAGATTGGGAGTATCTGCTGATGCCCCGGACTAGGACGGGGTTTCGGCTGCAATGGGGCTTCCCCTTCTTGGGCTTTTTAGCCTTGGAGTCACCCTTTTTAACCTTGCCACTGGCATCCGCCTTCTTGGCTTCAGGTTTCTTCTCAGTGTCCTGCTTCGCAGCTTTATCGCCTGCCATCGTGTACAGTGGGAAAGAGCCAGCTGCTGTATTTTCATGTGCCAGTAATAACCAGGAGCCCTGCTCCTTCCCGGAGTCTTATAAATCCTCTAGTATTTGATGATGCGAAAACGAACTCTCCCCCCAGCCCCGTTCAGCCAAATAGCCCCCACGTGGCGTGTGCAGAGGCGCCAACAGCCAGGGCAGCGCCCGGCCAAGCTGACTTGTGTCTCCCCGCCGTCCTGTGCCCCGACAGCAGGAGCTCATCGAGAGCATCAGCCGCAAACTGCAGGTACTGCGGGAGGCCCGGGAGAGCCTGCTGGAGGACATCCAGGCCAACAACGCCCTGGGGGACGAGGTGGAGGCCATCGTGAAGGACGTGTGCAAGCCCAACGAGTTTGACAAGTTCCGGATGTTCGTCGGCGACCTGGACAAAGTGGTGAACCTTCTGCTGTCGTTGTCGGGCCGCCTGGCCCGGGTGGAAAACGCCCTCAACAACCTGGATGACAGCCCTTCTCCTAGTGATCGGGTACGTTCAGATGTGTCTGCCCTGGGTGTCAGGGGTCCCGGGGAGGCTGTCCTGGGGGTGCTGTGGCACGTAGCTCCTTGGATGCGAGCGTAGTCCCTGTGCAGCCTGCGCACTGCTTGGCGCAAGGTGCTATGGAAACGACAAAGGCATGCTCCCGTCTCCCCCGCTCCTTTTTTCTTTTTTTTTCATTTTACCATGTGTGCTAACCCTAGAGAGACAGGGAGAAGGAACCCCACCATGGGGAATGGTCATGCCAAAGTCCCTTCCCCATCTCTTCCCTCCTTCCTGGACTTTGAGCATGCAAACACAGGTTCTCGGTGTGTTTCCTCAAGCAACCAGGTCCAGGACTCGACCGGTACTTATCAGACGTGTGGGACCAGCCACGTTAATCACCAGGCCATGGGCTGGCTCCCCCCTTTTCCTTCCCGTTGAGGGGATAAAACTCACTGGAAAGACAAGAGTGAGGTGAGCCGTTGTCACTGGACTGCAGGGCTGCTGGTCTCCGGGAGAGCCGAGGCCCCTGTTGTCTCTTGAGAGATCCGATTCCCCTTTTAGCTCTTTCGATATTACCATTGGCCAGCACTAAGGTGGTCTCTTCCTTGAAAATCATGTTTCCTTTAAACTTCTCTATAACCACGGGAGCCCTGGCAGGTGGAGGTCCCAGGGGAGAGGCCATTTGTAGTTAACATTGTTGCTGCAATGTCACAAGAGTGCCTGGGGCAGTCCAGGAAGGTCACAGGACTCCTCAGCTGTTCTGGCCCAAGATGTACGACTTTCAGGGCATTTCTTTCTTTCTTTTCTTTTCTTTTTTTTTTTTTTTTTTTTTTT